AGGTAAAAGTCCTCTCTAAATATCACCGCCAAACTGAATTCCTGATGAGTTCCGGGAAAAAGATTTTTATTGAAGTATTACTCTAATATGGATATTAAAGAATTAAATAACAATTTTTATGGTCCTTATCGTCAACTTCGTCCTTACAATAAATGTGAATGTTGAGCATTAGAACCTGACGAAGAAATGCAATGGCATGTTACTCATATTAATAAATGCATAAAAAGTCTTAAGCAACTTAATGATTTTTATGAAAGTTTAAGGAAAGTTATCAAACAAGAAGGCAAGCGATTTAAAAAAGAAAAAAAACAAGTTATTGAAAAAATTAAAACCAAAGCCCGAGAAATTAATTACAAAGATAAAATTGGTAAGGATTACGAAGTTTGAGAATATGGCATAATGAGTTGTCGTAACAACCAAGACCTAAAAATAAAAGAAAAAAACCAAATTTCTTATCTAGAAAACCTCGCTAATGAATGACAAAAACGATCTGAAGCAGAAAAAGAAAAGTTAAAAAAACAGGAGGAAGAAAAAAATAAACAAAAACAACAAAAAACACAAGCAGAAGAAGCAAAAAGGAAAAACCAAGAAGAGGAAATTAAACAAAAAGAACAAGAATTTAAAAAACAATTTGAAGAAGAACAAAAACAAGAACCTAACCGACCAACAACTTCCGAAAACAAAAATAGTAATGATGAACCAACTAATCAAGATAAACAAGATAAATCCTCCACTTCTTAAGACAAACCACAATTGAGTAATAATCAACCTCAAGAGAAATTAAACACTAAAGAATTATCATTATCTCTTGAGATAATAAATAAATTCCCTCCTAACTTCAATACTAAAGAAAAAATAGAAGCCTTAATTAATCCAATCAAAGATAATATTGAGTTTTTGCACGAACTACAAACTAAACATGAAGTTGAAGACTTAAGTGCTTTGCTTGCTACTAAATCTGCTGAAAAAATAATTAAGATTATCAAACGTTTTGAATATGATAAAGATAAAGATAAAAAAATCAGAGAACATTATGGTTTAAAAGAAGCAGACAAATTAACTGACAAACAGATTGATGAATATCTTTATGAGCAAGCAGTTAAAGGGAATGAAAATAATTCAAATCATTCTCAATCATATTTTCCACAAAGTAATAGTTCTTTTTGAGATAAAATTAGGGTTTCTTTATTTGTTTTAGTTTCACTAGTGGTAGTTGTTTTCACTATTTACTTACTTTTGTGAATTTTTAAAGAAGATTACTATAAACTTTACCTTTTGAATTATAAGTCAAATGAAATTGCTAAAAAAGAAAAAGCAAAAAGAGAACTAAGTGCTATTTCTCTCGAAGCAAGATATTTTAGATTGATATGAAAGCAGAATTTAAACAATTATTACTGTGTGCAAAATAAATGTCTGTTTTTGAAGGCAAGATTATCAGAAAATATTAATTTTATTAATATCTTTCCTTTCTTGATAATAAAAAAGTGGAAAATAATTTTGCACTTTGTAATATAATATAATTTACTCAACTTTAAATATTTTTGAACTATCGCCTGAACTTTCCTTTTTATTAAACCCTCTAAATGTAAGACAAAAACCAACTTCTCTTCAATCTCATTCATCTCTTTTTCAGTTAACTCACCTAATTTCTTTTCAAATCTTCCAATGGTAATTGCCCGCACTTGTTCGCATTTGGCTCGTCCAGGCTTGCCTTGAAAAAAAGTCGCCACTTGAAAAGGATAAATTTTCTTTACTTTGCTAGAAAGGGGAACAATAACTATCACATTCTTTTTCTCATTTTGTTGATTGTTGGAAACTACCACGGCTAAACGTTCATCATCGTCATTACCTTTCTGCTCGTAGCCTTGGGCATCAACTATTTCTACTAAATATACCTCACCTCGACGAGGATTGATTTCGGTATCGTTAGTCAACCTCTCCTTTAAAATATTCATCCAAAATATTGCTAACTATTTTTCCCAACTGTCCTTTTCGGTGGTCTTTCACTCTTTTATTTCGGTTTGCTCCTCGGGGTCGTTGGCTCATTCCTCATAAGCGACCGCTAATTCTTGGCTTTGAGTGAAAGTTAACTCGCTTAATATCTTGGCTAACTCTTTTTCTTTAATTTTATTTTCCCGTAAGCGGTTTTGCAATTCAAGGAGGAATATTTTGTTAGGAACTTGTTTTAATTGTGTATTAAGGCTCTTCATAATATTATTTTTTTAATACTTTTTTTGCTTTGTCCTCGGGTCATTAGCCCATAAGGGGGTCGATAATCCTTACTCGTTAATCTTAATAAAAACTTTTTCTTGGGCTTGCTGGTTGTGCTTGCTTTCGGGATAGATAAATAACCTTTTTATTTGTTTATTCCCTAATTTAGTATGGGGCATCATACCTTTTATAATTCGCATAACTAGTTCTTGCGGGTATTTTTCCAGCATTAAACGGGTGCTTCTTTTCCGTAGCCCACCAGGATATCCAGAGTGATTGTAATAGTATTCATTATCTAATTTATTATTACCGGTAAAAGTAATATATTTAGCATTTACCAAAACCACATAATCTCCTAAATCCAAGTTAGGTAAAAAATTGTTTTTATTTTTCCCCCGTAATATTTCTACTATTTTGGGAGCCATTCTCCCCACTATTTTGTCTTTTAAATCCAAAAAATATCAGGAACGAGTGGTGGTCAACAGGGAAGGAATAGTAGTTTTTTGTAATTGTTCGTTTTCTTTTCGAGTAACAACCTCCATATATTATTTTTATTATTGCTTTTTCTTTTTATGAGCCAAGAAGTAAACAAATACTCCTCCTAAGATAAAGGCACCAACGGCTAAACTAATGAAAATTGCGGTATTACTTTTGCTGGGAGTGGAAGAATTATTAGGGTTATCACTTTGTAATTCAGAGAGAGAAAGGGATTGGTTAGGTAAACTTTGAATAAGTTGGTGATATTTTGTTAATTCTTGATCCTCGTTTTCGATGACCTCTTTATTATTGTTTTTATATTCAATTATTAATTTGCCATTTTTTAAACTAATTTTGCTGATACCATGCTTGACTAAATATTGACGGATTTGGGATTTTTCAGCGTCAGTTAATTGGTTGCTTTTTGGACTTGGTTGGGGTGAAGTTGCGGATTGATTGTCGTTCTTTCCTTATAAGGTTTGATTGCTTTTTTTTAATCAGGTTAATTTTTCCTCGGTAATTTCTCTATCATAACTTCTTTGGAGAT